AGTTTCCTCCAAAATTTAAGAGTCCTATTTCACAGCTTATTTTGGGCAAGCATGAACAGTATGACGGATATTTTAACATTTCTTCATTTGGGTGAAAAACATGTCTAGTACTCTGTAATTTTAATTTACTCAGATATGATATTTAGAAAGAATAACTTCAAATATGCTTGATTTCTTCTCTAGAAACAAAAATACCCCCTTGAAAGCAGTTCTAAAAATATGGGGTTTTTAGTAAAAAGAGTTAAGCATGTTCAACTAAAAACATCTAGTCTTCCCTTTTCCAAAGCTTGAAACTGTTCCAAACGAAACAAAAAGCCTTAAACCATGTTTACCATCAGAAGATAATCTGTACACTATTTTCTGCAAATCTAATCTTTGAGCATTGTAGCACCCTGTTTGTGCTGCCTAGATTTATGAAGGGAAGCCCCAGCTAATACCGCAGTAGACAGGAACCACTTTAGCCTCGCTGATGTTTGTTGCCTACAGGAACAAGAAAAAAAGGAAGAGTATTTTAGGACATTACATTGCATAGGACAGTGGATGTTTAGGCGCCGCCAAATTTAATGGTACTTAGCTAGCCATAAGTAGACAGCGCGCGCCCTCTTTCGTGTGCAATTAAACCTATAAAGATCATCCAATTATCAAAAAAATTCAAACTATGTTTGGTGGTCTAGTGAATGGCGGGCACATCTAAAAGCACAACATACGCTCCCAGCTGAGTTCAATGCAAAGCTGTCATTCTTTATTCATGCCAAAAATATGACTGTGTTTTGGTTATTTTTAAATTGACCTCAACATTTAATTACAGGCTTTTGGTTATTTTTAAATTGACCTCAACATTTAATTACAGGCTTTTGGTTATTTTTAAATTGAGCTCAACATTTAATTACAGGCTTTTGGTTATTTTTAAATTGAGCTCAACATTTAATTACAGAGTATTACATTTTCTTTTTATTATTTGAGGGTCATGTCTAAAAGGTTCTTTTCAAGGGCAAGAAAACTGAAATTGTAAAAATGGTCAGATTCCCACCCCATGAATGAGAAGTCACAATGATTCTGTTAGCGCAGAACCAGACTTTTAAGTCTAAACACCCTAGTTACTGGTCATGTGCCCGGCAAATGTTGTTTATTAAAATTTGCCAATGACGGCTCAATATCCACTGTCATTGCATTAGATTATGGAGAAAACTGAATTTGGGGTTCCCAGCATTTCATGGGAACAAAATTCCCTGATTTTTTCTCAAATGGAAGGTAAAAATTCCCGGATCATCATTTTGGCTTTATAGTCTGATAAGCGTACACTACAGGTGTTCGTATTACAGGTTATAGGGTTACACAAGCACCACACCGACAGAACGTTGTATTAAACGTGTTCTTATTTCTGAGGTTTGACTTATTTGTCTGAACCCTAACACAGTCGGGAAGGGGGGGAGGAGATAGAATCTGTCCCTCCTTTTGTTCCAATCTCCTCACAGTGCATTTGTACACACCAAGCCTTCAGGTCAATTTTCTAGTAATATCTTCCAGTCATTTTGACCCCATGTTTGTGAAAATCAGACATACTTGTACATGTATTCCTTTCTCATGCTGCATGTTTTCAAGAGAGCTCATCAGCCAAAATGTCAACTTTCCCCCCTGCATGCAAGCTGACTCAAATGTGGCCTTCAATTGGCAGCAACAATAAAGCCATACATCAGATACGATTGATACTTCCCCTCTGTACTGACAATGTGCCAATAAGCATGTCAAGTCTGCAAATGATTAGGCACAGGACAACTGAGTTCAAAAGAGGGAGTGGGGATAAAATGGTCTGAAATAATGCTCTGTGAAATTGTCTGCCAAAAACAAGCAGTTCTANTGGCTAAATCATTTTTCAAAGTTTTCAAAAGATTTTCTTACAGCACCTTTTCCTGAATACTCATTTCTCTGAACACATGAGAAGAACTTACAAATCCTGTCCCAACATCAAATATACAGTTTGTTCATTATTTCTAACATTTCCAGGAGGTTTGTGAAAGAATCTATAGTGACTTACCCACAAAACTTCATGAAGTAAATTAATTCTTCAAGAAGGCAGACCACTGTAATTGTAGCACTGAACGAAAGAAAGGAATAATAAATTTGACAAAATCTTCAGCAATTTGACGCAATCATTCAATGTTTGTAAATAGTTCCAGAAACACAACACATGTACATTGAACGGGGTCCATACCTGATTCTTAAAATTTATCATGCAGTGACTGCTATGCATGAAATTTCTAAGACATGAGCTAAGATTGGTCACTCAATCTTGGATGGTGTCTGGCTCAAGTTAAACTCAAGCCTGGTATGAGGCTCAAGATTTAGAACTGGTCACTCAAGCCTGGATGGTTTAGGCCAAATATCTCTCAAGCCTGGTGAAATTCTTAAGAGCTAGGATTGGTCACTCAGTCCTGGATATTTGCAGCTCAAGTCCTCCAGCTGGTTTATGGTTTGAGGCCTAAACTCACCAAGTCTCGTAGGGGGCTCCAGAGCTAGAATTAGTCACTCATATCATGTCTGGATGGTTTGAAGCTATTAGTCCACCTGCTCGTTCATGTTGCTGAGACTGGAGCTAGGGCTGGTCACTGAAGCATGGATTGTTTAAGGCTGAAGTCCAGCCATTGCTAAGACCAGAGCAGATAAATCACTTAAGCCTGGGTGGTTATACTCTCACGTCCACTGGCTCGTTCAAATTGCTGAAACAATAAAGCTAGGATTGGTTACCCATGTGGTATGCCTGGATGGTTAGATATTCAAGTCCACCTGCTGGTTTATATTGGATCCATGAGCAAGAAATTCCCCCATCATGTGTGGGTACCATTGAAAAGTCAATGTGGTGAGCACTCATGCACCACCAGAGGGCTATGACTGCATGTTACCTGTTGAATGGATACCAGTTACCCAAATTAATACATGTACACTGTCTAGATTCTGTCTCTGAGATGACAACATGAATATGAAAATATCACTTGTTGATATTAGAGAGGTTTCGCACAGCCGCGGTTGCGGATACATGTACGAATACATTATCACATTGTGCGCTCCGTGTGACGTATACATCCGTCTCAAACTTAATTCCATACAAGCTAGCAAGAGATATCGGCTGCTACACACATAAACAAAAAAATGGAAATTGTTTTTCCTGATTTTGTGGGCGAGTTGTTTATAAACAGAAGGAAATCACCATTTTGATTGTTAGTTATACCGTCAATGGACTGGGATTTATGCCTGAAGAAATGAGAGGAAAGCAAACAGAAAAGTAACCGTGCAGTGACGACCACCATGTCCCAGCTGTGCAGACAGCAGGCCCTACATCTAGGCTAACTTACACAGGCCATCGTCTAGGCTGACCCATCCAAATGAAAGCTGGACTACGATTGGTCACTGGAATGGAAACAAATGGGATGCAAGGTTTGACCTAGAAAAGAAAGAGGGAAGAAAAGTTGGAAAGAGATGCAAGGTTTGACCTAGGAAAGAAAGGAGGAAAAGCTGGAAAGAGATGCAAGGTTTGACCTAAAAAAGGAAAAGAGAGAGGAAAAGCTGGAAAGAGATGCAAGGTTTGACCTAAAAAAGAAAGAGAGAGGAAAAGTTGGAAAGAGATGCAAGGTTTGACCTAGAAAAGAAAGAGGGAAGAAAAGTTGGAAAGAGATGCAAGGTTTGACCTAGAAAAGAAAGAGAGAGGAAAAGCTGGAAAGAGATGCAAGGTTTGACCGAGAAAAGGAAGAGGGAAGAAAAGTTGGAAAGAGATGCAAGGTTTGACCTAGAAAAGAAAGAGAAAGGAAAAGCTGGAAAGTGATGCAAGGTTTGACCGAGAAAAGAAAGAGAAAGGAAAGGCTAGAAAGAGATGCAAGGTTTGACCTAGAAAAGAAAGAGAAAGGAAAAGCTGGAAAGAGATGCAAGGTTTGACCTAAAAAAAGAAAGAGAGAGGAAAAGCTNCGGCTAAATCATTTTCAAAGTTTTCAAAAGATTTTCTTACAGCACCTTTTCCTGAATACTCATTTCTCTGAACACATGAGAAGAACTTACAAATCCTGTCCCAACATCAAATATACAGTTTGTTCATTATTTCTAACATTTCCAGGAGGTTTGTGAAAGAATCTATAGTGACTTACCCACAAAACTTCATAAAGTAAATTAATTCTTCAAGAAGGCAGACCACTGTAATTGTAGCACTGAACGAAAGAAAGGAATAATAAATTTGACAAAATCTTCATCAATTTGACGCAATCATTCAATGTTTGTAAATAGTTCCAGAAACACAACACATGTACATTGAACGGGGTCCATACCTGATTCTTAAAATTTATCATGCAGTGACTGCTATGCATGAAATTTCTAAGACATGAGCTAAGATTGGTCACTCAATCTTGGATGGTGTCTGGCTCAAGTTAAACTCAAGCCTGGTATGAGGCTCAAGATTTAGGACTGGTCACTCAAGCCTGGATGGTTTAGGCCAAATATCTCTCAAGCCTGGTGAAATTCTTAAGAGCTAGGATTGGTCACTCAATCCTGGATATTTGCAGCTCAAGTCCTCCTGCTGGTTTATACTGCAGAGACTAGAGCTAAGATTGGTCGCAAACTTGCATGGTTTGAGGCCTAAACTCACCAAGTCTCGTAGGAGGCTCCAGAGCTAGAATTAGTCACTCAGATCATGTCTGGATGGTTTGAAGCTATTAGTCCACCTGCTCGTTCGTGTTGCTGAGACTGGAGCTAGGGCTGGTCACTGAAGCATGGATTGTTTAAGGCTGAAGTCCAGCCATTGCTGAGACCAGAGCAGATAAATCACTTAAGCCTGGGTGGTTATACTCTCACGTCCACTGGCTCGTTCAAATTGCTGAAACAATAAAGCTAGGATTGGTTACCCATGTGGCATGCCTGGATGGTTAGATATTCAAGTCCACCTGCTGGTTTATATTGGATCCATGAGCAAGAAATTCCCCCATCATGTGTGGGTACCATTGAAGAGTCAATGTGGTGAGCACTCATGCACCACCAGAGGGCTATGACTGCATGTCACCGGTTGAATGGATACCAGTTACCAAAATCAATATATGTACACTGTCTAGATTCTGTCTCTGAGATGACAACATGAATATGAAAATATCACTTGTTGATATTAGAGAGGTTTTGCACAGCCGCGGTTGCGGATACATGTACGAATACATTATCACATTGTGCGCTCCGTAGGATGTATACATCCGCCTCAAACTTAATTCCATACAAGCTAGCAACAGATATCGGCTGCTACACACATAAGCAAAACATTGGATATTGTTTTTCCTGATTTTGTGGGCGAGTTGTTTATAAACAGAAGGAAATCACCATTTTGATTGTTAGTTATACCGTCAATGATAATGGACTGGGATTTATGGGCAATGCCTGAAGAAATGAGAGGAAAGTAAACAGAAAAGTAACCATGCAGTGACGACCACCATGCCCTGTGCAGACAGTGGGCCCTACATCTAGGCTAACTTACACGGGCCATCGTCTAGGCTGACCCATCCAAATGAAAGCTGGACTACGATTGGTCACTGGAATGGAAACAAATGGGATGCAAGGTTTGACCGAGAAAAGAAAGAGAGAGGAAAAGCTGGAAAGAGATGCAAGGTTTGACCGAGAAAAGAAAGAGAGAGGAAAAGTTGGAAAGAGATGCAAGGTTTGACCTAGAAAAGAAAGAGCGAGGAAAAGTTGGAAAGAGATGCAAGGTTTGACCTAGAAAAGAAAGAGAGAGGAAAGTATGGAAAGAGATGCAGCCACACTCGAGCTCATCAATTGACTGATTGTGAACAAAAAGGATGGATCATCCACCAGTGCAGCTGAGGAATGGAGAATAATAAATCCCTAATCTTAATCATTTCATCCAGCAAACTTCCCACATTTGGTTGACTATGCATGTGCATGTAGTTGGAATTCCCTAAAATTCTTTTGAAATTTGAATGCTTGCCACCTAAGTTTCAAATTGCTAAGTGTTATTTTATTCAAATTTTAAATGAAGAAAATACTGACCTAAGTACATGTATATATGATACTAGATTTGTTAATATTTGGTTGCATTCTTGTTGAATGGTTTTAAGAAATACGAGTTCCATAGGCTTGTCACTAGCCGGGGCTCGCAAGAGATGGCGGATTGTGAATGTATTTTATTTATCTTGCCTGTGCAGTTTCTTGTACATTTTATGAATTGGTAGCCGTCCAGAAGTATGTAAGGAACTTTGCCATGCGAAGAACATTGCCAATAGCAGAAGCATCAGGGTGCACCCTCATCCCCCGGAAAAATGGTCACTTGCAAATTGTTTTGTTAAAATGGAGTGTCACTAGAAGACTGTGATTTGTTTAAAACATAAAATGCATACCCATGTTCACAAATTAAATACATGTACAAAGAACGAATAAAGAAAGATGATGTTGTGAAGTGCAAACAGCTTAAATATTGTGCGCTGTCATTTACATGTACTTCACTCCTGTATAAAGCCGTTACTTGACAAAATAACTGGTCTACGCAATTTTATGTGCCAGTATTCTGCAGTGCTTAATCAAGTACAACTGGTTATTTCTGGTGAATTTGTTGACACACTCGGATAACAAACGTTTTTCCCCGCATTGCGATTCAGCGCTAAGCAGGCACACTTTGCCGTACATCCTTTTCTGTTAAATTGATCAGGGTGTGTTGCAAAAACCCCAAGTGCGGGGGGAGGGAGATGTTAAGGTGTCGGTTTCGACTTGCACTGGTATGGTACCCAGGAGTGAACTAGGTACAGTAAGGTACTCTTCCTGAGTGGAGAGAGCAAGTGCACAGTCTCGGCTGGTTTGACTGCTGAATAGACATGTATGGCAGTTGGTACGCAACGCACCCACCAAATATTACTTTGCTACCGGCTTAAGGAGCACCTTTAGGTTTTTCCTGAAATCCAGGATTGCGAATAGGGAAAGAATTTTCCCAAATTGCCACTCAACAGATTCCCTTACAGAAGAATTTGTTCGATTGAAATTTTGCTGCTCTTCAGTGAGGTTTACACCCTTAAATGGACACAGAAGGTAGTCACACATGGGATATGCATGATCTCCATACAATGAAAATGGCAATCCATTATTAGTCCAACAGTTTCCAGTGTAGTCATGATTCCACTTTCCTGAAGCGGGAAACAGTCATGCCTCCTTCCTTCTACTGGCCCAAACATATTACATGTAGCTAGCATGGCATCCGGAACAACTGACTGGAACTTGAGTGAGTGAATCCGCTTATGCCCATTGAACTTGAGTGAGTGAATCTGCTTATGCCCATTGAACCTGAGTGAGTGAATCTGCTTATGCCCATTGAACTTGAGTGAGTGAGTCTGCTTATGCCCATTGAACTTGAGTGAGCGAGTCCACTTATGCCTATTGTAACACACTCGCTGGTGCTGCATAGGTCTGCAAATGCGACGGACAGTTCCATCTATAAAACCATAGCAATTTGTCAGTGGAGTGCCTTTTTGATGGATAACTTCTGCATATCTCTGTAATCTATGGAGTGCCCATGCACTTCAACCAGGTGATTTAGAGTAGCATTGACTATCATTGACAGGGTAGACTTTGGTCGGCAAAAAAGGGCTCCAAATCTAAGAGTCAGTTTGGATAAACTAACCTCCTGAGGAGAATACATAAGGCATCTGTTCCACCGACAACAGTTCTGTTGGGACAAACCACTCTTTCAGGTATACGCAGATAAAAAGCGAGCTGGCCAGTCATCTGTTTATTAAACCTGAAGTAGAGAAGATAGAAAATGCTTACAAGAAAATGTCGAATTTTCGATTCAGACACGCATTTCCTTTGAAAATAGAGATTGACGTGTTCTATTATTTTTAAGTTTGTTTCAAATTGTAATGAGCAAATCTAAGTAAGAATAACTACATCATCCAGGATGGCTATTCTAAATTGTTTGGGCTCCACATGCAACACCCCCAGCATGGTGATTCAAGCTTACATGTACCTACCCCTAGGCCTAGTGCACAAACAAAATGTCCGAGGTACGTGGGATGGCCTGGCTAGCCTCTAACCTGGTTGTTGTTAGGCAGATAAGTCTTAGACATGTAAGACATATAATATCAACTTTCTAAGTGGACGAAGACTTGAAGAGAACATAGTGTTGGGCCTAGTCAGCATGGCCAATCAAGGCAATTGCTGAGTCATGCTGAGACATCAAATCATGACACTTGACAGTAAGTAAGTGAGAAGCCTACCCTCAGCCTCATGCTTGGCATGCTTGATCCATATCCATTGCCTATCTGAAGTTACTCAGACATTGTACATCTGACAAATTGTCCTGGTGAAATTTCGGAATACCAGGATTGTACGTTGAGGGCCTGGTGTGTGGTGGAAGTAGCAAGGAAATTGCGTCTTTGTCTCCATTTTTGGCAGCAGCAAGGACATCATTTAACTCTGTGGGCATTGCTATGTTGGATACCGGTGCCCTCCAGCGAGTTAATTGTGACGGGTTGCAAAACAAAAGCTGAATTGGCACTAGATGTATATGCTTACGGTTATTGTATCCGTAACTGTATCTGTACGCACAGACTTGCGAAACCTCTCTACTAATATACTTAGAGCAGTTATGTTATTTCTTCCTTTCTCATATTGTGTGCTTCAAATGTGTTACATATCAAATTACAGATAACATATACACAGATATCTATTGATCCAGTGTCGTCATTTGATATTTGTTCAGAAAATGTCACTCCATCTGCGTAAGTTTTACAGCATGAAAAAATATGTAGTTGGTGTTTACTATACGGTGAACAATTGTTGCTTTTGGATCATTTACCATAAAAATGTTTGGTCGATACCACATAGCAGTGCAAATGTGTGTGCAACCGTCATACCGTCATTGTGATTTTATGGTGTGGAATTCTTTAGTTACAATAAAAAAGTATTGAATAATATCCGAAGACATTTCTCTGCTTTGTCAGTTTGTTATCCTGATTGTATTTAATCCTGAAAAGTGGCGCACTGTTAAAAATACAAGTACATGTATGTAACTCCGCAAAAACTTGACTTCAGGGGATCATAACCCATCAAACCTAACAAGGTTTTTGAGAGAAAGGTATCAGTTACAAACTATTATTCAAACTTTTAAAATGTATGAAAAAAATCAATATAAATATCCCTACTCATTCCCCTCCCAAAATGCATCAATCCTGAACAATTACCTTTGAGCCAAAATATGCCCTGAGAGTACATACATGTACCTGAGAATCTAGCAAAATGAAGTTTCAAATTGTCAAACGTCAGTGCAACACCATCGATAAGCAAGGGAAACAGACCTACTGTTCATACATGTAGTTCTCCAAGTTCTTTTCCTGGGTAGACTTCTCCATGGCATGCCCACGAATACAGTGTGCCTACCCCTGGCAATTAAATCACCACTTGAGTTGATGATGTCAGCCTTCAGGAATGCTAGACTCTTGCCTGTCTTTAGGACCTGGGCATCCAAAGAGATCTGTTCTCCTAGACTGGCTGATCGAACAAAGCTGAAATAAAAAATTCTCTTCATTAATCAGAATGAGAAAGATGCATCAGCACTTAAGATTTGAAAGACAAGTTCAGCTTAGACTTAATTTACATGTCTTGAAATGACACACACCACCTTTTTGGTTTATGATTAGAGAGAGAATTATTACCCCTATGGCATACATTTGAGGGAGCACAATTCATTTACCAATACCATGAGCTGACACTCAGTTATGCGCACAATAATCTCACTTGCACATATTTTAGAGAAACTAGCTATTTTGGTTTTCATGAACTGGCATCCGGTACAGTGGGGCATTTCTGCCGCACTTCGTGCATTTTCATTTTTACGAGCTGATACTTACATGTATCTTATTATTCCACCAGTTATTAAAACGACTTTTAATTAAATTTGGGGAAAGGCAACAAGTATGTGGATGGATTGAATTCATGTTGCACCTTTCAAAGCTTTTTTCTCCACGCTGTAGCAGCGCAACAAATTTGGGTGTCAGTTCATGAAAACAAAAATCAGTCTATTTCGCGTCAGTGTCTGATGTGCGCACATACTACTGAGTGTGAGTTTGTGAAATCGAAGTTGTTGATAACGAGTTTTTCACTAAGTGACAACCACATGCAAATGAGTGTCAGTCCTTGTCAGTGACGAATTAGGTACATGCTCTTTAAAAGGAAAAGCTGCCCCCGTTCCAATTTCCCCATTGAAATTTTCAAATGAACACCACCAACATGTCTGTGCAGGCTGTAGTCATTAGGTTCGGTGCCCCCTGTAAAAAACTTTGTTAACCCCTTGGTGCCCTTCTAGAAATTCAACCCAAGCTACACCACTTCCCAACTGCCGGAGATGGTTCAATTCCTGTCAACTTCTGATGGGGTTTGACAGTAACATCTTTTGTTTGACAGAGGAGACGACAGTGATGCTTTCCTGTTCTGAGCATGTTAAGCACGTGCCTTGTCACTGCCTTGACCAGTTACATACATGTACACGTGCCTCATGTCCAGCTCCACACTGACACCCAGTTTGCCCACGTTGGGGGTTGCCAGGGCCAAGGCAGACACGCTGTGCACCATTGACCTCAGGCAGCTGCTGTGCAGTTTGTTCTGTACATTGGTGTGCTCCTTTTCCACGACGAGCTCACACTGGCATCAGCCAGGACTGACAGAGACAATGTTGACCTAGATGACGGGCTGTTTCAAAATGCATTGGATGAGGTCACACCACAGGAGTGGGCTTTCCACTCCACGTACTATCTCAAGTTATCCAAGGATTACTTAAGATAAAGGACAAAAGGAAGCACAATATTGCAGAATATCCCACCTACTCGCTCGTGCTCGAAGCCAGCTGGGCTAACTTTAAAAACTTTTACCATGGTCTGTTTCTACATATACCTCCATCGCGCCATGTCATCACCTTTGGTCATTATACATGTCACCGGTCGCGGTGCACGAGGGAGGGGAACGGACGTCGGACCCCACAATTCTGGGGGTAGGCATAACAGCAATGACCCCGAGTTCACGTGCGGCGATTCTACACTGGTAGTACATTTCAAGTAGCAGGGCACTCTGCAATTACGGTACTCCCTGAGACTTCCTCACACCGTGGAACTCATAGCTATACTTTAAAACCCTGTTGAATGTCTGCCCTGAAGTGAGGACGCTGACGTTATTGCTTTCCAGATTTGCCTGACTGGACTGCAGGATCCCGAGGCCGCCATTGTGCACTGGCACGTACGTCTATAGTCCACAGAGGGCGGTTGTGAAAACTGTAGCTTTACAGAAAAAAAAAAATTTTGTGATGTCTTGCTCGAACAATAACTTGCAGAAATGTGCGGACTGCGACCATGGAAGAAGGAATCTGTTTTCCTTCCTCCAAGCTGCGACTGGGCATTTGTTCATAAAATGATAATCAACCAAAAAAGTCACATGGTTGGTGTTAAACGATTGATAAAGTACGAGGGCACTTCAAGCTTAAATTTAGAAGCGCTTTTAGTGCTTTTAACCTTGGGATCTTTCGGCTGAGGGGTCTTCATACACTGAAGAAGAAAGCAAGGTTCCAGAAAAACTGCGTCAGTTTGAAACGGTCATTGCTGCACTTTAAGGCTGGCGCACGCTGATAATGCCTCGTCTATACATCATGTACTGATGTAGCTATAGGGACTGAGGCTCCAGGCATCAGTTCAGTTGCGTGGATTCCCTACCAAACTTTGATGTTTAAAGGTCATATATGATCGTCCCCCCTCCCCCGGGGGGCGTGGTGTACGTGTTTTTGATTCTAGAGTTGTGAGCCGGCTGCACACACGGATGAACATTCCGTGGAAGCCGGCGGGCATAAATATTGTCACAAATGTTGGTAATTTGCAGTGTGTTACCGTCAATCAAGTCGTGTATCTATATAGTCTTGCGTCCCGCAGGATCGAGAGCCCGGCAAAAACTTGAAGGGGACATTGTCTGAATAAACAGTCTGTTGTCGGCATCAGTGGAGGAATTCTCGCTTCATATGCAAATGACTAGGTTACTGAGAATTAATATTACTTAGGACCTTTAAAATATGGTAATACATCGGGGCACGAGTTCCTCCATGCAGGCAAGACCGTTTGGGATATAATTAAGTCATGTATAGTACACGCAGAAAAATTTCTCATGCATGCAGTTTCAGTTCACGTTGCGTTACACCGGGGATTTCCCCCAGATGAGAAATGATCGCGGAGCATTATTAGAAAACTAACTTCGTGCTTTTGTTACTGCTCTACTGATTTTTTGTCAGCTTTGTTGTTCAAATTTGATTTATTAGAAGAAGTATTATTACTTTTCAGCCCAAAACCGGAACATCCTATTGTCTCCTGTGACTTTAATGCCATGATATTGTATAGAACTGTGGAACTATGTTCGCGCGCGGCAGGATTTCGCAGTGAGCAGTCTGGGGCTGCTGAGCAATCGTTCATGTTTCCCAACATCTGATGAGGACATCGTTGCCGCACTTAGTGCAGCAACTCGATCGGCAGTCAAGGTGGTCGGGACCATCGTTTTCCGTCAGTTTGGAGTTCTTATTTTCTTTCTTGATGGAAAACCCGAGTTGTGACCCGTCGGTGCGTGGATGGTTTTGCTTGGCGGCCCTAAATTGATGCTCTCCACCAATCCGATCGCGAAGGCCGGCTGCTATGGCTAACGTGAGGCGCGGAAACCGTAAGTCGATTGATATTCTGTGGGTGTCACTGTCAGTAACAGACCTCTTATTTGTCGACCTTGTTTTTTATTAGAACCAAGGTTTATAAAAACATATCAACCTCTGTATGGTGAGGGCCTTAGTCAGTGTATTTATCATGATAGCTGAGTGCTGGTTCTTTAAATAGGCCATTTGCATTCCTACTGCCAGCCAAATCAATAATTAGATCGCAGAATAGGTTCTTTGGCTGCATTGATGTTGTTTAAAGCAGGCAAAAGTTGTCTGAGTAATGTTGCATAATGTTCAAGGAAGGGTGTGTCGAATTTGCACTCGGAGGAATGTACCGCGTGGAAGCTTGGGAGTGCCATCACTAGGCCTAGTTTAGCTTGCAACTCCAGGCTGCGATCTAGGCTGCGTGTACTCGGAGCTAGAAGCTTACAACGCACGCTATCGATATAAGTGTAACATTTTCTAACCCTGATACAATTCGTTTTACACAAAAACCCACTGGACCAAAGACAGGGAATACACTTCGGTGAGCAAAAGACCCTAAAAAACCTTTGTGGCTGCCGGCAAAAACTTTGACTAGCGTACATAGGCAAAAACTACTGTACATACCGAGAAAAAACTTTCGATCTTCAAATAACACTCCCCATTCTTTTTGACAAACGCTTAATGTGACTGCTGCATGTATAACCATATAAACTCACTTCAGGTGATTCAGATTAAAACCATACATGGAGGTCTGTGATCATGATGTTACTTTATGCCAATTTACTGTAAGGTCAAATACAAAGTGTAATGTTATTTCAGCTATTACAAAGTGACATGGTCGTCGGTAAAACTGTGTCTGTTGTCGACATAAGCAATATTTGCAGGATTAGCCCATGATTTAGCTGCATGAAACAGACATGTGCCTCCACATTTTTGGGATTAGGCCTAGACGATTCAAGCGCTAGCGATAGATCAGAAAATATGGTGTCAACAAAGAATGGTTTAAGACATCACTGTACTGAATAAAAGTTTAAATGGTTACAATTAGTCGTATTGATCCTTTGTTCTAATTTAACGTTACACGATTTATTTTTGAACATACGATTTTTACGTTGGCTGTCATTGTAATTTGGGGTTTTGTTTGTGTTTTGTGTTGCTTTTGTTTTGTTTCTATTTCTTAGATTTCTCTGTGTGTTTTCGATGCTTTTGCTTTTTAAGTGTACTTCTTAATTTTTTTTGTGCAGGGGGTTCTGATTTGTACCCTGGATATCTGTGTAGGCCTACATGCAATGCACCCTACCCTGAAGAGGAAATAAATGTTGTCGGTTATTAATGTCCATGACCTTTTAACGGGGTATTGTAAACCACGTTAACAAAAAGTCATTGTCGTGATCAGTCATGAAATTGCGTGCTTTGGGAAAACCCCAGGAAAACTTTAGCACGCAATACCACCGGGATATAGTTCTGGGTATTATGTGGTTGCAGTGTATAGGCACGTGACTGTGCTTTGACCTCCTTGCACTGCCCGGTGTCATGGTCTCATTTTTCTGGCATGCTTAGATTTCCAGGTAGTAACCGAACACAGCCGAGCGACCCGAATTGCGACCCGAACATATGCGCATGAGTAAATCCCATTTTGGTCCATTTTAATGGGTGTGCTGAGTTCCTACATTATATGATCATGGCACGTGGGCCTTTGTTGCAGGCGGACGTACCCTGACGTACCGTCCCAGGCGAGTGTGCATTTTGGACAAAAATCTGAAAAGCCCGTCCCCATTCCAAACTTCAGTTCCATTAAATTGCTAATAATCGGAAGATTAAAATAAAAACGCATATCTCTTCCAAACGGCGTGTAAAAGTCGTAAAAAGCTTGAACCCCCATAACTGTGGGGTCTAGGTTGTCCGGACGTCTTGAGAGTACGTTGGACATCTGCGGCGGTAGGCCAGTAACTACATGTACCGTGCTCAATATCCGGTAATTACATTTGTAGAGCACAATGAAAACGCCTGCTCTTCGTCCTGACCATTCAGTCAAAGTAATGTAGTTTTGAATTCCCCGATCTTCCAGTCTCCTTTGTATATTCCCACATATTTACCCTAGACTCTGCCAACGCACGTGTACATGCGACTGGAAAAATTAACACACAAATGGGCACGTACACGGTAACAATTGCCTTTTATACCGAAATCGAGTCTCAGGCCCTAGACTCTTTAAAATTCAACACCCTATGTGTAATTTATTGCTTGAACTGTGAAAACTGATAAGTGTTGTCCAGCCCGTGCAGAACTAGGCCTTTTGTGTCATGTAGGCCATGTTTCATTTCTAGGAAATATAAATGAGGGGAAAAAAATTTAAGCCGCGTTACCACACCCCTTTTGGAGCCAGTCCCTAACTAGAAACCCTACATTTTTTTGCCTTACGAAAAGTGAATGAAAATAGCCTCTGAAGACATTAAAGCTTTTTAATATACAGGTTCAGCTAAATGCCAAAATCATTCAGGTGTGGAAGTATGTACCCCTTCCCATTCCCTGGGCTTGTCACTATTCACCCATAATGGGAAAACCACGTGGAGAAAAAGATTAAAATAACTACGTAGAGTCTTTATTCGTTCATAATTAATTGGTTTTGGAATGGGTAATTCAGCTGACAATAATTCTGGCCCTTTTTTATTTTATTTACCAGTGTTTCTATGTCGACTATAGGTTTTCCCGGCCAGATTCACAAAATGCCCAGTTTAATTTGTAAAATAAAAAAGTCAATTTGGCCTGGATTTTGAAAACGACTTCATTTTCGCAAAATGAGCATTTAACTTCGTTTTGTATCCTTCAAATAAATGAATGGGAATTACGTTTCATTAATTAGAGGTTACACATAAGTGATTGGGGTTTCGATTTGACGTAATCATTGCCAATTGTAGCCAATGTGCAATATTATTCACCGAAAATCTGTCTTTTATCGTAACCTTCGGTACTGAGTATTCATTTTCCTTTTGCTGTTATTCAAATTCACTAAATTTGCGTTCAATTTGATTAGAATATCGAGAGTTACAGAAATCATGACACCACTTTTATAATGAATGTTAATCCAGTGCAATATCGGGAAATTGAACGCTGACTCTATATTCGACTGAATCACCCTCCATGAAATAGAATTTGTATTTGTTAATGAAAACAGAGATTTGAACGTTAGTCTGTTTCGCTAGAAAACGAATTCTGCCATTACTAATTCATTTGCAAATTTTCCAAAATTGGCCGGGAAAACCTATAGAATCGAAAGTGTTAACACTTGAATATATATGCATCTTCTTGGTGGATCCTTTTACGAGGTACGNCACCCACACAAAATGAAAACTCAACGGGCTGGAGTGGAGCTATGTTTTTGACAAAACAATGCATTTCACTGCATTAGGCTTTAAAGGATCAATGCCATGATTTTTCAAAGAATCAGTTTTGGGCATGTTGAAATTCTTTTTCAATGAATAAAAACCATTTTAAATCATACTGAAATTAAGTGAATTATAAAGTGCACCTTTCCAAAGCTTTTCCGGATAAGTGAGG